TATAAGAGAACACACACACACACACAAAATGAAATAGATGTTATAATTTGTTACTATGTAAGTAGATTTTGAATTCAAACTTGCTGATGTTTGAGGTGGTGTGATCAACATATTTTTGATTCCTTTCCGGGCATGGCGATGGACAATGGATCATAGCTGAACCCATTTATGTAACGGCACAAAAGCAGAACATCCCAGCAGCATCCATCTACTGGTAAGAGTGTTAGCTTCCCTACCGCCTCCTTTTCTCTTGTTTTCTCTCTCTTCTGCCTTGGGGACCATTTCTCAGTCTCGGCATATCATCCGTGCGCAGAGGTGATGTGAATCTTCGTGTTGATTATTCTAATCGCATTAGGTGTAATAGGTGTCCATGTGGAGAGGCCAGAGGGAGAAGAGGAAGTTGATTGAAATTTTAAACACAGACGCGATGCAGCAGACCCAGAGTTAAAGAATGGAAGATTGAGGAGGAAAACAGTAGACTGGATGTACAGGACGCACTGATAAACCAGACTCAGTGCAAAAGCATGGCGAGAAGCAAAGCTGAAAACACACACACACACACACACAGAGAGAGAGAGAGAGAGAGAGAGAGAGAGAGAGAGAGAGAGAGAGACAGAGACAGAGACAGACAGACAGACAGAAAGAAAGACAGAAAGACAGATGCACCGACGGACAGACAGACAGAGAGAGACAGAGAGAGAGAGGGAGAGGGAGCAAGTTACATGTCCTGTGCTGGGAGGCGCCATAGCTCCCATGTGTACAAGCTGAGACTGGTTCATCACAATTTGATTCCGAACAATAATTTTGAATTACTTTCTTATGTTCGTCTCATATCTCATGTGTGGAGCTTTGTCTGGCGACCTCTGAGCTTGCATGGATGTGTACATTTGCATTGACTTGGAAAGATCATAACACTTAGAATGTAAATGTCCATGTTGGCTTTTTGCCAGCCTGCTTCTGCTGCTGCGGTCCCTCAGCCTGCTGGCACTCATATGGCCTTCCGCGCATGATGTGGTGAGTTGTTGGTACCTTTTTTCTTTTGACTCGTTGGGCTTTTGAACTGTTTCCCGTTACACATTGCGCATGATTGCAGGCCAGGGTGCAATATCAAAAGGGATGGTTGGGATTGCGACGAACAATTTTGCAAACGTTTTCAAGACGATCCAGAAAGCGCCATTCCCGGGATCGACACAGTTCTCTCCTATTTTGATGGCGATCCGCACAGTCGTCCACGACTCATTGCATTCTACTTCAACGAGCCAGATCATGTTGCACATGAAAATGGTCCAGACGATCCGCTGACGGACGAAATGATTGGGCGAGTCGATGGAATTCTTGGGCGCTTGCTGCAAGGACTTGAGGAGCGTGGAATCCTGGATGACATCAATGTCATTGTGCTTGCCGATCATGGCATGATTGGGACCTGTGCGGAGAAGGTAGGTGTTCTTTGCTGTCTCCTTAAAGGGTTTTTTTTCCAGCAAACATCTCTCATCCTTTACAAAGCACAATAGACATACTCGGCATTTGCCACACTATGACCACATCCACACGAGCAGGCAAGGGACAGAGACAGACAGACAGACAGACACAGAGAGAGAGAGAGAGAGAGAGAGAGAGAGAGAGAGAGAGAGAGAGAGAGAGAGAGAGAGAGAGAGAGAGAGAGAACATGCCGGACGCAATTGT